GAAGAGGGCCCTAAATTAATATTCCTAACAATGGAAAGATCCCTGTGGAATTGGTACCATTTGTATGAAAATAGAAAATATGCAAAATACGTGTGCACAAGGTGTCAATGTATGAAAGTGTTTGTTCATCAATGCCAGAAGTCTGCCAAGCAAAATAGGGGAGTTTGAAGCTTTGGAACATGAACAGAACTATGATGTAATTGGTATTGCTGAATCTTGGCTTCATTCTTCACATGACTGGGCCAATAATATTCCTGGCTATGTTCTCTTTCAGAGAGACAGAGTAAATAGGAAAGGTGGTGGTGTCTGTGAGAAGTGATGTCAGAGCGAGTGTGAAAGAGGACCTAGTTGATGGAAGATGAAGTATTATGGGTGGAACTGCACATGGGGTTGCATACTACAAAAGGTAATCACTGGAGTTTGTTATAGGCCTCCAGTGTAATGAGGATGTGGAGACTAAACTCCTCGCACAGATCGAAAGGGCTGGGACAGTGATAATGGGGGATTTTAACTACTCAGAAATTGACTGGAGTAATGGCACTGCAGGAACAGTTAAAGAGCAAACATTTTTAAACCTACTACAGGACAATTTTATGGTACAGTTCATAGAGGCCGCGACTAGGAATGATGTTCTGTTGTACCTGGTAATCTCAAACCAAAATAGCAAGCACATACGGGGAAAAAAAAAGCTCAATTTTAAGAGAGCTAATTTTCCAAGGCTGAGAGCTACGGGCTTGGAAAAATCTGTATATAAATGGGTAGAAAACTGGCTAAAAGATTGTATTCAGAGAGTAGTGGTTAATGATTCATACTCTGACTGGTCTAGGGTTGTCAGTGGTGTACCCCAAGGTTCAGTGTCGGGACCCTTACTTTTTAATATATTTATAAACGATATAGGGTCTAGGATTAAAAATCCCATTTCAGTCTTTGCAGACGACACCAAGCTGTGCAGTGGAATAACGTCCTTACAGGATGTTTCCAACTTACAAGCCAACCTCAATGCACTGTGTAATTGGGCAACTATGTGGCAAATGAGGTTTAATGTTGATAAATGTAAGGTTATGCACTTGGGGGGTAAGAAAATGCATGCATCATAGATACTAGGGGGGGTACAACAATCAATGGTGGAGAAGGATCTAGGGGTTCTGGTAGATCATAAGCTTAATAATGGCATGCAATGCCAAGCTGTGGTTTCTAAAGCGAGCAAAATCCTCTCTAGTATTAAAAGAGGTATAGACTCCAGAGAGAGAGATATCATATTACCCCTGTACAAATCATTAGTAACACCTCATCTGGAATATGCAGTTCAGTTTTAGGCACCAATTCACAAAAAGAACATTGGGGAACTGGAAAAAGTACATAGAAGGGCAACTAAACTGATAAGAGGCATGGAGGAGATCAGCTATGAGGAAAGATTAGAGGAACTGGATTTATTCTCTCTTGGGAAGATGAAGGAGGGATATGAGAAACATGTATAAATACATCAGTGGTTCATATAGTGAATTCTGTGTAGAATTATTCACCCTGAGGTCATCACAGAGGAAAAGGTGGCACTCTTTATGTCTGGAAGAAAAGAAAATCTCCAAACACAGAAAGGTTTCTTCACAGTAAGAGCTGTGAAAATGTGGAATAGATTCCCTCAAGAGTTGGTTATGGCCAGCTCAGTGGATTGCTTAAAAAAAAGGCCTGGATTCTTTTTTAGATACACAGAATATAACTGGATACTAATATTTATAGGCAAAGTTGATCCAGGGAATATCTGATTGCCTCTCGGGGGATCAGGAAGGAATTTTGTCCCCTGCAGGAGCAAATTATTTCATGCTTTGCTGGGGTTTTTTTGCCTTTCTCTGGATCAACTGTGGGTGTAGCATTATAACTTTTTTTTTTTTATTGGTTGAACTGGATGGATTTTTGTTTTTTTTTCAGCCAGACTAACTATGTAACTATATATGGGCCTAGCTGTATAACTAAACGCATAAAGTGTACACATATACTTTAAGTATAGTAGAGAAAATGAAATCACACACAGCAACGATGTTAGGATTAGAACAGCGACTAAATAGACTTACATATTGTTGCGCAGAAAAACACAAGTTTAGACTTTTCCACATTTGCCTGATTAATGTCTTAAAGTGTTACTAAATTCAGAACCCTGTATTCACTATATCTGGTCTCCACACAACATGGAACTGCAATTATTTTAGTAAATATAAAGTGCAAAATACCTTTTATTTCCAGCAGTATATAGCAGTCTTGTGACATCTACAAGCTTTAACCAGTGCTCAGCTGGACACCATTAGGAGGAGTTTTCATTCTCCTCTCACTGTCCTATGAGAATGCAAGACCCCTGACCCTCTCTCTGGACAGTGCTGACTGGCCCTGTACTGATCTCATGCACTCTCACAAAGAAAAGAAAACCTCTCTAGCCATACACATTAAACTTAGCATGTGCAGAGTGACTTCTAGAGCTCTGTACGATCAGCAGATGGAATGGGGACAGAAAAAGGAGGATCACAGAAGACAGGATCAAACAGCCTTTTTACACAATGCGGAGGATTAACCCCTTACTGCATATACAGTGAGTTTACTGTCGTGGGTTTGGTAACACGTTAATAGATATGTCCTTAGCAACTTTCACCCCCCCCCCCCTCCAGTGTTATAATTCAAATTTACATAATATGCACATCATCAACCCAGTACCGCAGTTCAGGTATCACTTTTTGTAAAAATGCAGGGGAAGAGTTTGGCCCAAAACAGAGGGGACTTAGAAAGTGCCTATGCTTTAACCCTAGAGATTACAATCAGCATGCAATCGAGTACTGACACATTCCCGTTTCATCCTACAATTTGGATGCAGTGTGTAGAGACACTGATTGGAAATAAGGTGGGGTAGTTTGCAATCAGTAAGGAACAACAGAAATGGGCAGGACAATGGCAGGCAATGTGTTTTCCAGGTGAAAGAGGCTTGTTGGAGACTACTTGTTTATGTGTCGCTACAATTTTCTTGACACATCTCTGCGCCCTGTTTTTTTATTTTCTGTATTGCCTGGGCCAGTTGGATCCTTTCCAATCCTTGTGAGGAGCTGCAAGATGTCTTAACCCTTGATGAGCTTCAGGTCATGTCCAAGATGTCAGTTGTATTTCCCCTGGTTTTCAGCCTTGAGGTCTACACCTTAATTTAACAGCAGACACTTGGGTAATGGGATAATGACTTTTGCATATTATTCTAAATGGAATGACATTTTTTTGCAGTGTGTATTTATCCCTGAGGTTCTGTATATTATTTCTCACTTTTTGCAGGCAGTGTTTTTTTTTTGTTTAAGGAACAAGCATCATTTGGAGTCAGTAATATACATACAAAACTGGCAATTTGTCGACCGGTTTTAGCAATCTCAGCAATTTCTCATTAAACACTTTTTAAAAGAACCCTTCTACATTTAACAGTATACTGAAAAGGAACAAGGCTGATTTAAAAGCAGATATAAATTACCCTCATTTAATCCAGCTAGGATTCATAAAAAATATTAACTTCATAGAGCAGTGAACAGACAGCATATGTAACTTTAGAAGGTGCAACAAGAGTGTTACTTTCCTGGCTATGCCTCTTGAGCGCTGTAAGAAAACCATTTTTTTTTTTTTAAACAGGAAAAAAAAAAAAAAAAAAAACAGACAACTGGTGCTCCTAATACAAAGCACAGTTGTGGTATCAGGTGCAACTAAGGGGTTTAATTTACTAAAACTGGAGAGTGCAAAATGTGGTGCAGCTGTACATGGTAGCCAATCAGCTTCTAACTTCAGTTTGTTCAATTAAATTATGAAAAAAAAACAAAAAAATGGAAGCTGATTGGTTTCTATGCAGAGCTGAACCAGACTTTGGGGTTGATTTTGCTAAAACTGGAGTGCAATGTGTCAATTCTTCTTTGTACTAGAAGCACCAGTTGTTTATTTTTTCCTGTTAAAACAAAAACTGTGTTCTTACAGGTCTCAAAACTCCAAGTGAAACAAACACACAGTAGAAGCACAGAGACTCCTTCCCCTCTTTATCATTCTTTTTATTAATTAATTCCTGCAATTCACAAAATCCTTAAAAAAAAGGCATAGCCAGGAAAGTAACATCCTTGTTGCAACTTAAAAGCTACATATGCGGTATGCTCACTGCTCTATGAACTATCACCACACTAAGAAGTCTTTTTATGCTTTCCTCTTGTTTGCCAAAAAAAATAGACTGAGAGCATGATAAAGCATGGTTGGCTTACAGTGCATAACCTCCCATTCTTAGTCCGATTTCTGCTGTACAAGCGATCACGAAAACATATGAAGCTAGCTTTAATGTAAGTAGACTTGTATAAATGAATACCTAACTACAATAAAGGATACTTTAACATAATCTTGTGTATTGTTAGGTAGAAATGCTATTAAGACAGTGAAACCCATTCACCTCTTTAGCACTGGTAGCATGACATGCATGCTGTGTATTATGTTTCAAGGCACAGCAATTATGATTTACATATCTTAATTTGCTGCAATCCATGGATTGCTACATAACCTAATTTTCAATTAAGGAGGCTGTTTCAGTTTAGGTTATACCCAATCTGGAAGAAAAAAAATACTTAATAGCTGGTTTAGTATTTTAATGCATTTTCAGGGTGCTAATAAAACAAGAAAATCATCTGCCTATATAAATAGCACCAGAAGGGGATTTTTCAAATCTGTATATACATAATCATGTCATCAGATTAAGTCAAAAGTTTTGCTGCAGGAAGATAAGCCTATATACTGGGACAGGAGCCAAAAGTTGTACAGAGTTGGCGAATGCTTCATCCCATCATTGTCCAGTTAAACGTTTGGTGAAATTTACCTATATCATAGATGTGAAAAGTTCTGCCTGGATATGTGTGTAAATAATTTTCTCTAAGAGCATAAAATATTTGAATGTTATAAACCAACATCTGGGTAACTACAAGACGACTTTTATAAATAAAAAGACTAATACGACAGACCTTGCTCTTCTTCTTACAGTTTCGAGCTTCTTCAGCAGCTTGGCCTGCAGCCTCATTGAGGTATTTATTGCCCACTTTGCTTTCAAACCATTTTAAGTCAACAAAGACTTCATTGAAGTGCTCTCGGTCGAACTACACACAAAAACAAACCATAAGCGAATGTGGTAGGTTGCAATAAAAGATAAAGTTTATCGAGAAAAATTACATTAAAGCATTATCTTATAATTTTTTTATGTTAAAAATGAAGCTGTTGCAGCAAACATGTATTTTCTAAGTTTGCTACGTAACATTTCCATCACATTAATAAAGAACTGTAAGAACTGTCTGCTAATTACTTGAATCATCTTGTTTTTTCTGCCTTAAACCAGCATATTGATGATGTGTACTCACTGTCCATCGTTAGGGCTCATTGGGGGGAGCTAAAAACGTGCGAAAGAGCGATCGAATACGATCACTTATGCCGTGTTTGGAAGGTAGTAAGTCCATCGAATACAATCCATTCAAGTGAATGTGGAAGCATTGGAAACGCCGCGCAACGGAATGCAATGCACATGTTTGCGGCACAATGGAGCAGCAATTATGGGGTTAAAAAAGGAAGCGAGGAGGCATCACCTCCTCACAGCCTGTCAAAGGCCTCTTAAAAATAATCCAAACACGGATCTCGTTTTAGAAGTGTGATGGTTTAAATGCAACTATAACCCTCGGTCTTTAGTTGTGTACTAATGAATGTCACAGGGTGAGAACCAAAGTAAAATTCAAATGCTTCGCTGCTATGATTTCACACTACTGCTCCCCACTGATTACTGATAGCTGCAGTTTATTACAAAGCCAACCTCCTGTTCCATCTGCTGCCTCCCTGTGTTTACTGTAAACTCAGCTATATATAAATGTTAGGGAACATGCACATGGATCTTTGCAGATGCAAGGGAGGTCCAACATAAAACTTCCAGAGGTTTTCCACACCCAGGGAGCCGCAGGTACAGGCAGTAGAAGATTCACATTTAGGAAATACGACATATGTGCATGTAGTGTGGCAAAACATTGGGAGTTTTACACTAGAGCTCCCTTATATTTGCTAACATCTATGTTCATGTACCCTTAATCAAAACCTACATGACACAATTTTACAATTTTAATATCCAAATACACTTACGGCAGAAAGTTTTGTGAGATATTTCTCAAAGTGGACTAGGTTCAAATACCCATTCTCATTAATGTAACCTGGAGGGAGAAACATAATTCACGTTAGAATGGTGGACCTCTTTAACAACCTTTAGAATGTTATATCCATTATTTTGTATTACTTGTTTACAGATATTTCACGACTTTGTTTCACACAACTACAGTGGTACAGTTTTACTTGTACTCATAATACATACGTAAACAGAGTTAAATTTTATTATTTCTGTGCGAAAACCTACATCTGCAACTGGTCAAATAGGGATCATCAGTCACCACAGTATTGCACAATATATAATATAGATAAACTATAAAATTAATCAAAACTGTGCAAATGCTTATATTAGAAAATAGACAAAGCAGCAAACACAGTAAGAGAATATCTTCTCTTAATATCAAATCTAGAAGTAAATATCTGGTGTTGTGCTAAAGGACAATAAAGTGATATACATAAAAAATAGTGCATAAATGTGCAACTGTAAATACAGCATTGTTACAGTTTTACATTTGAGCACTTTGTTCACGGTTTAAATTTGTACATTTAAGAACTATTTTTTATTTTTATAGTACTTTAGCGCAACACCAGATATTTACTTATAGATATAATATAGATTATCCAAACACAAATTCAAATTCAAAAAGTACAGCAATATCTATTGTTTAAAAAATTCAGACCCCCTGATTTAAACCTTTAGGCATCTCCCTCCCACATACAAATTTCTAATGCAAACTGAAGTAGGTTTCATTTGTACAGGCTGGATAACTACATCTGCCTGTGTGCAATTAAAGTATATGTGAATCCTCACCTTGTAAAACAACCCATTCAGTTTAAAAGAGAAATGAAAGGCAAAACATTTGTGTATACATATTGTGTCTTGCCATGGAATAAAAAGAGGCTATGACCCAGGATTCTCATCCAGATAGGTTGAGGGGCTCCAGGGGTGTTGCTTAATGAGAAGGAAACTGTTTTTTCAGTTTCCTCATCAGCTGGTAAAACTTGGTTTGGGACCTGGAACCCAGAGATTTATTAGAGATTTGGGAGGGATGAAATCTCCAGTCCAGGCTGGGTCAGGGTTTTGTAAACAACCAGCACACAGATTGCATAGGTGTGTGCAGTGTATTTTATAGTGACCTGACCATGGTTCTGGGCTCCACCCCGGCAGACAGAGGAGGTCTTTGCCCAGGAGTCAGGAGGACTCCACCTAGGAAAGAGGTGGGAGCCAGAGCAGCAAGGGGCAAGTCCAAGTGTTTGAAAAAGGATGGTCTGTAGGAGACAGACAAGGGCCTGAAAAGTATGTCCAGAACTGCAATAATGTATGTGTAAGCCAGGAGGCTAATGATCCATTGTTTTACAAACCCCTGCAAGGAAAACATGTTGATCTTTTTACTGAACTTTCTTTTTTAAAAAAATTGGGCAAGAAAGACCCTTAAAAGGAAGAAAGCGAGTCCTTAAAGTGGAACTTCACTTATGCTGCTAGCCTAGTAAATAGACAGGAAAGCATATATTTTGTTTTAAACTTTTTTTTTTTTTAATTACATTTCTTCAGTTACTTCCTGGTCTCCATGCTTAGGCAAATGCTGTCATACATTCCAGGAGTCTTCAGAAGAGGAGGGAAGGTTTTCAGCTCAGCCTATGCCTGAGCTAAGGGCAGATAGACTTCAAAAAATAAATGATACATGAATCATCTGCCCTAACTCAAGATGACCACAGCCAGAGATGCTAGGGGGTGTTTTTTCAAAATTATTTGAAAAAAGTAAAATAAATTATAAATACCTTTTTTCCCCTTTTTTTTTTTATAAGCGATCACATAACCTCTGTTCTCAGCTGCATAAGGAGCTTAGAAAGCTGGGGGAGGAGCAGCACGCTGGTCTTCCCAGTGAATGACTGTGCAAGAGGCATGTCAGCACCAGTCTGATCATTAAAGGAAAGCAGGCTGAGCTCCCAACACAGCCAGAACATGGACCAAGCTGTGCTCTCATGCCTATTGTGGTCAGGGGCATATCTACCACAAGCGAAACAAGGTGTTTGCCTTGGGCGGCATTTTTAAGGGGGTTGGCACCATTTTTCAATGGCATATCATCCATAGGTGCAGGGTGTTCACTGAACACGGGCCTCTAACATACACTGCACCAATGGATGATAATGTCAGGCATTACAACTGCAACAGTGGTTAAGTGTCCCCGCATGCAGTGTGTAGTTTGCTGGCCCCGCCCCCTCCTGCACCATCCTTATCCCCTCCCCCCTAAGCTTTGTCGAAGCCTCTTCCTGGTGATCTGCTGTTTCTAAACAACCTCCCTCTCCAAATCTCACCGTAAACAATAACCCCCCGCCCGTCCTCTGAAGAGGTGAAGCTTTAATAGGAAGAGCTGGAGCCTAAAGAGGAAGGGGTGGAGTTTACAGATGAAAGGCTGGATTTTAACCATTAGCCGCCCGGCCAATGGCCGTTTGGCGGCTTCAGAAGTGTCTCTTCATTCCGGGTGCACGCCATTTGGCGTGCTCTCGCACATGCGCCGTTTGCGCTAATGCAGAGTGGCGCAGCAGTGCGATCTGTCACGGGCCGTGCACCTCGGACACGGCCGATGACAGATCCGAGTACCGGCTCCCGTTGCTGGTACCATGTGACCTGCTGTGACCAATCACAGCAGGTCACATGACAGTTGTATACAATGGATGGCTTCATTCATGATGCCATCCATTGTATACTAGTGCCTAGCTGTGAATGGTCACAGCTAATCACATGCACATGTCATGTGATTAGCTGTGACCAAATCACAGCTAAGCACAAAAAAAAAAAAAGAAAAAAAAAAAAGCTGAATGAATCGATTTCATTCAGCTAAATGCTTGCTTATAGCAAAGTAATTCTTTGCTATAAGCAAATTGTGTAAAAAAAAAAAAAAAAAAAAAAAAAAAAAATACTGATCACTTCCCCAAAGTAGTACAATGGTAACATTGTACTACTTTGGTCATTGTAAAATATGAAAAAAAAATCTTAAAAAAAATAAAAAAAAAGTAATAAAAAAATTAAATATAATAAAAAAAATTAAAAAAATATATATATTTTTTTTTTCATACTGTCACCAGTCAGTGTCCCTGTTCACCGCCATGCCAGTTATATGATGACGCTGTACTGCACTGGTGACAGTATGTAAAAAAAAAATAGTGAAAATAATTTTTTTAATTTTTTCATTTTCCGAAAAATTATGACAAAAAAATACAATTTCAAAAAACTCGCCATGCCTCTTATAAAGTACGTCGGACTGTCTACTCTGCAAAAAGGGGTCATTTGGAGGATATCTGTACTATTCTGACATTCTTGAACCTCAAGAAATTAGATTGGCTGTCAGTACTTCAGGATTGATCAATATTCAGATCTATACCATAGTTTGTGAACTCTATAACTTTCCTACAAACTAAAAAAATACATCCTAATTTGGGTTATTTTCACCAAAGACATGTAGCAGAATACATCTCGGCCTAAATTTATGAAGAACAATTATTTATTTGTAAACGTTTATAACAGAAACAAAGAAAAATGTGTTTTTTTTCAAAATTTTTGGCCTTTTTTTGGTAATTTAGCAAAAAATAAAAACCCCAGCGGTGATTAAATACCACCAAAAGAAAGCTCTAGTTGTGTGAAGAAAATGATAAAATTTTAGTTTGGGTACAGTGTTGTATGACCACGCAATTATCATTCAATGTGTGAGAGCGCTGAAACCTGAAAAATGGCCTGGCAGGAAGGTGTAAAATTGCACGGTATTGAAACGGTTAAACAGGAAAGAGTGGGACAAAATTTAGATGGGGGAGTGCATGATTTTAGCCATGCCTGGGGAAGCAGAAAACCAAAATAAAATACTGATTGTGGTCACCTTTTAATAGAAAAACAGAGGAACTGGCAGGAACACCAGGGATTGTACACAACAGATAAACGACAAAGAAAAAAGGATACTTTTTCATACAAGTAACATGGTACAGAAGACACATATCAGGAATATAAAATGTTCAGTTTATATTTATTCTTTAAAGTGATATTAAAAGACAATCTTTTTTTTTTTTTTTTTAAAATAACATACATGTCATACTTACTTGCTGTGTTCAATGGTTTTGAACACAGCAGCCCGGAACCTCCTCTTCTCGGGTCCCTCGCCAGTGCTCCTGCCTCGCTCTCCTGTTGACTGCCCCCACAGCAAGCAGCTTGCTATGGGGCACCCAAGGCTGTTGCTCTGCATGTCTATTCACAAACGGTGCCACGGCTTTGCTCTGCCGCCTCTCTCTCCTCATTGACTCACTGGCTGTGATTGCCAATGGCTCCTGCTGCTTCCTCAGCCAATGAGGAGGGAGCGTCCCCGTAAAAAATGTGTTTTTCTGATTGGGCAATATGGAGAGGTGGGGTGGCAACTACTATCTTGATTCTCCACTTCCACAGCAGTCCCAAGCTTGGACATTGGTCCAAGCTGGACTAAACTAACTATGCAATATAATAGTTACCTCGAATTGAAGTTGTAAGAACCGAAATATGTAGCTTTCATTACTGGCTTTCTTTTTAAAACTGCAAGAAATCCGTATCAGGCCACTTGGGTCTGGAGATGATTACCAATCTAAGTGTGGGTCATTATTAGGCCTTATACATCTGTTTACAAAGTATTTAAGCCCTGTATGCTTTAGAATCTGGTATTGTTGGAGCTCTCCTCTCCTAGCTTTCAGAATTTACTAACCATAGTTAAATAGTTAGTCTGGCTGAAAAAGACAAAAGCCCATCTAGATCAACCACTATGAAAAAAAAAAAAAAGGCAAAAAAAAAAACAGCAACGCATAATCCAATGTGTTCCTGCAGGGTAAAAAATTCCTTCCTGATCCCCCGAGAGTCAATCGGTTATCCCCTGGATCAACTTTACCTATAAACGCTAGTATCCAGTTATATTATGTGTATCTAGGAAAGAATCCAGGCCTTTTTTTTTTTTTTTTATAGCAATATACTGAGCTGGCCCGAACCAACTCTTAAGGGAGTCTACTCCACATTTTCACCACTCTCACTGTGAATAAACCTTTCCGTATTTGGAAATTAAATCTCATTTCATCCAAAAGTAAAGAGTGCCACCATGTCCTTTGTGATGACCTCAGGGTGAACAACTCTACACCAAGTTCACTATATGAACCGTACATGATCATATCCCCCCTTAATCTCTTCTTCTCAAGAGAGAATAAATTAAATTCCTTTAATCTTTCCTCATAGCCGATCTCCTCCATGCCTTTTATCAGTTTGGTTGCCCTTCTCTGCACTCTCTTTAGTCCCCCAATATTCTTTTTGTGAATTGGTGCCCAAAACGGAACTGCATATTCCAGATGAGGTTTTACTAATGATTTGTACAGGAGTAAAATGATATATCTCTCTCTGGAGTCTATACTTCTTAATACAAGAGAGGATTTTTGCTCGCTTTAGAAACAGCAGCTTAGCATTGCATGCCGTTATTAAGCTTGTGATCTACCAAAACCCCCAGATCCTTCTCCACCATTGATTCCCCCAGTTGTACTCTCCCTAGTATGTATGATGCATGCATATTCCTAACGCCCAAGCGCATAACCTTACATTTATCAACATTAAACCTCATTTGCCACATAGTTGCCCAATTGAACAGTGCATTGAGGTCGGCTTGTAAATTGGAGACATCCTGTAAAGATGTTATTCCACTGTACAGCTTGGTGTCATCTGCAAAGACTGAAATGGAATTTTCAATCCCAGACCCTATATCATTTATAAAGATATTAAAAAGTAAAACGTCCCAACACTGAACCTTGGGGTAATCCACTGACAACCCTAGACCATTCAGAGTATGAATAATTATTCACTACTCTCTGAATACGATCTTTTTTTCCAGTTTTCTATCCATTTACATATGGATTTTTGCAAGCCTGCGAGCTTTACCTTACACATTAGCCATGTGTGGGGAACGGTGTCAAATGCTTTTGCAAAATCCAAGTATACCACGTCCACCACCTTCCCTCTGTCTAAGGTTTTTCTCACCTTTTCATAAAAAGAAAACAGTTTTGTTTGACAACTTCTGTCTTTTATGAATCCATGCTGCCAAGAACTCATCCATATGATCTTTTATTAAACTCTCCAGTATCTTCCCAGGTATACAAGTTAAACAGGACTATAATTACTTGGTAAAGATTTTGATCTCTTTTTAAGTATAGGCACATTGGCCTTACGTCAATCCCGTGGCACTGTTCCAGTCATTAAAGTGTCCCTAAAAATTAGAAACAAGGGCTTTGAAATGACAGAGCTCAATATTTTAAGGACCCGTGGGTGTATGCCATCCGGTCCAGGTGCTTTATTCTGTCTAAATATTTCTGGATCATATCAGTTGTGAGCCAATGTGGATCATCTGGGGCTGTGTCAATACCATGCCCATTATGGACAACAGCTCCCCCCACGCTCCTTTGTATACACAGAGCTAAAGAAAGTATTTAATAAATTTGACTTCTTTGTCCCCAGTCACCCACTCTAGATTATTTTGTAAAGGGCCTACATGCTCGGACCTGACCTTTTTACTATTTATATATTTGAAGAATTTTTTGGGGTTGGTCCTGCTATCTTTTTCAATCTGTTGTTCGTTTTCAATTTTGTAATGTTTAAACGATGATAGCATTCCTTCATTTTTATATTTTATAAAAGCGCTTTCTTATTTATAGCTTTTTTAACTTTGGCCGTAAGCCACATAAGTTTCATTTTTAGCATTTTAAACTTGTCCATGGGAATATATTTTGCAGTGTGTTCACATATAGTCTTTTTGAAGGACTCCTATTTCTGGCCTGTGCTCATCGATGCCAATATTCCCTTGCAGTCTGTCTTGGAGAGCAGCTCTCAGCCTTGGAAAATTAGTTCTCTTAAAGTTGAGTGTTTTTATTTTCCCCGTATGTGCTTGTTGTTTACAGCTGACGAAAAACAAAATCATGTAATGCTCACTGCTACCCAGATGTTCAGAGCATCATTCCTAGTTGGGGCTTCTATGAACTGTACCATAAAATTGTCCTGTAGTAAAAAAAATGTTTTGCCTGTTAACTGTTCATGCAGTGCCATTACTCCAGTGAGTTTTTGGGTAATTAAAATCCCCCATTATTATCACACTGTCCCAGCCCTTGCAGTCCTTTGGATTTGTGCAAGGAGCCGAGTCTCCGCCTGCTCATTAACACTGGAAGGCCTATAACACACTCCAATGATTACCTTTGTAGTATACACCCCCATGTGCAGTTCCACCCATAATGCTTCAGCCTCATCACACTCTCCATCAACTAGGTCCTCTTTCACACTCTTTGAGATCACTTAAGAGACAGACACCCCCACCTTTCCTTTTTACCCCTGTGGGATGTAAGGAATATGACAGATATTCACAAAATTATCTTCAACTTGAGCTTGCATCTGCAAACACAGGCCCTTACCAAACAGGAAACATAACAATAACATATTTTCAGAGACATACCTCCAAGTTCTGGTAAGACACTAATATATGTTCTGTACAATAGAGGCAGTGCATCGTGGTTTATATGCAAATGAGGTAGATGAGGAATAAAATCATTGCCCACAAGAAATCCCATTAAAATCCAATCATCAATTATTCTTTCAATATCATATTCAAAAGAGATCTTGTTCTAAAACAAAGAAAGTGTTTAAATATGTGTAAGAAAATCAGACACTTACTTTTACTACATTTAAAGGACATTACTTACTTTCAGGGATGAAAATTCATAATCAATATATTCTCTCATTAGAGACAAGTGAAGGAGGTGAAATGTAGTTTCTTCTGGTGCAGAAACTCTGGAACACATTAAAAAAATCTGATATACAACTTCGTACATTAAAAATGATTGACATGGATAACTGAACATTATTTTAACAAAACACAACAGTCTTCACACGACAAGATTTTCTACTCTACTTTCACTTTAGGTACGAGAGGGAGAATCTCACTGTTGTAACAGTAAATTTTCATTCAAATGTTGTCAGGCATTACGTCCTGGAATGTTTACAACAATCAACTTTATACTCTGCAGACTTATTCAGTAAAGCAGTGGAAAGGGCAGCAGTAATGTGTGAAGAGCAATAAATGCTGTATATTGTAGCCACATTGGCTAAGAGTGGAATTTGGGAGGTGTTACTACTATGAGTTACTACACTTTGCATAACTCAATTGCTATTAGCAGTGCCTTACTGAATAAGACCAACAATGTCCTATGAAAAATTTAAACAGGAAGCATGTACACTACACATAGAATAATTTAAACATTATTTCAACTGAAATGCACTTAATGGTAAAGCAAAAAGTCATGGATTGTCATTTGAACCTGAAGTATATGAAAGCATTCCATAACACCCCTTACCAAAAACATGCAGGCTGGTAACTTTTTTTTTTTTTTTGGAGAAGATTTCTGTAACTACTGTTTTAAAGTGATCCTACCACTTTGGGTAACCATAGTGCTGAAGTGCATCCACCGGGTGCCTGCAAGTGCCTGAGTTAAGTTAGCCATAGATGCTAGGATGAAGTCACTGCTCCTCTGACAATTTTCAACCTGGTTCCTTCTAATCTAATCAACTTTTGTGGAGACAGATGGTGCTGACAGGGATGTCCACAGCTACATTACGGTGTATGGTCAGCTATAGTGTTCAGATCAATAACTTTGTGCACATTGGCGCCCCTTAGTTGATCCCTGCTGTATGCAGGGCCTTAAAGTGGTTCTAAAGACAAAAGGTTTATTCCCTTGATGCGTTCTCTGCATTAAGGTAAAAACCTTCCAATGTATTTGCCTCTCCCCCAGCCATACCTAAGCACTTACTTGAGTTCTCTCTCGATTCAGTGCTGTTCCATATGCAACAGCGCTGCTCCTTTCTTTCTTTCACAGGCTCCTGCAGCTGTCAGTCAAATCCTGTGAGGAAGGAGTGGGGGCATGGCTGAGACGCAGTGTGTGTCTATGAATGCACACAGCCCAGCATGGGAGTGCAACCATACGAGTGCCCCCTCAGAAAATGACTTGCTAAGGGGGCACTGAGAAAAGAGGAGCCGAGAGCACCGGTGGGGGACTCCAGAAGTGGAGGTAGGGGACCGCTCTGTGCATTACTACTGCACAGAGCAGGTAAGTATAACTTGTTGATTATTTTAATATAAAGAAAAGTACGCTTTGACAGGGGACAACGCTTAAAGTGTAAACAATGACCTTCTCTTCTTTGCTCCCTTTCAGTCTGTTAAATACAACACCAAAAAGGGTTTTGTTATATCTGTTCAAGAAGTGCAAAAAACACCAGATGATTTTGTTAGAAATGCAGAAATGTCCTGTGTACACTTCTAGTGTTATTTCAAGGAGTCTAATTATCACTCTTCGCTCGCATGGACTACAGAACATCTATATAATCCTTTCTACAGTTATTCTGTATTCCATAATGAAAGCTAGGAGGGATAAGTGTAGAAAATTTAGTGGTTATTCAAAAACCAATTGGGCAGAGCCCACACAATTCAGTCCAGAAAAAAGCTGTATGTTTATTTTGTCAGTCCCCAACAAGTAATCAGAGCCAAATGCATACTTGCAGATCAACAAGTCTTCTCCATTCTTCCTACATCTTTAAATAAATAAAACACTGGGAAATGTGCATGTATAGCAGAGTTATACTGCATATGTTTTTGACATATACTTTAATTTAAGCACAGAGAGAAGTTGAGGCTCAGTTTAGGTTTCAGTACAAGGGACTCCACATGGATCAGTTTCAAGGCTAACAGAGGCACGTGCAGTAACATGTAATATTTTTTATTTTTCTGCTGAATGAATTATAGCGGATATTCAGAAGACATATATAAATAAAAACCCTGTACAGATGTAATATTGGGGCACCTAGGATGCATCCGTTACAGTGCTATATTAAAATGAATGCAGTCAAGACAGTCTGTCAACATCAATACTACAACCCAAAATCTCTTATTCCGAATGTTGAAGCTGCTGCAGAAATGTTAATATGAGCATGAAGGGTAGAGTGTATTGCCACAGTTTAGGTATGTACAAGTTATTATAAACAAAGTCTAACCAAAAAATCTGAGCATAACTCTGTTGGAACAGAAAACCACCACTGAATGTACAGAATGTGGGATTATTTGCAACTGATGTTTTTTAATCGTGAGACAAAGAGATGTAAGCACATTGATACTATAGTTCACAAAGCAGCACCTTCAAGATGAGAAGATGGTAGGTTTCTAAGTATATTTATAAAGACATGCATGCAACATTCACCAAAGATTTATGGCAGGTGGATCTTCCAGATGTGGATGTTTTAAAATTACAGTCATTTATTCAACTGCACTGAATGTTTGGTGAATATCACATTCACTACTTTATAAATATATATAAAAAGATATACAACAAATTCACCATTTAAACCAGCACCATATTTCCACTTAAAGGACAAACAGACCTAAAAACTGGTTAGGCTAATGTTTTATATTGGTGAACTGATAATTTAATAACCAGAATATAGTTTTATAGTAAATGTATATCACACTTCTGATTTGTCTTCATATGCAGCAGAACTTTAATAGTATCACACCCAGAATGAAGACAAAGCTTGTGATGAGAAAACGATCCTATATAAAAAGTTTGCCACAGTGCTCATCTACCTTTTTTGATTCTTCTTTCCACCAAAGCGAACCTCTTCTCTTAGAAGAGAAAAGTGAACTTCATGGCTTGTTAAACCAAGCATTATCTGCAATAAGAACAGTATTTGAAAATTACTAACAGATAAGCATAATATATACAGCTTCACTGTCATTTAAAGTGCCCCATGCACAGTCTATGAAAAGTCAACTAACTACAAATTCTTGACCAGCAGTAAAACTGGTTTAAAAAACAAGCCATCACTTCTAGATCCTCAAAGTTCACAACAAGGACTCTAAAGTCGTGTTTCAGTCAGTTTGGTTTAGGGTGTGTGTGCCGCTGTTTGGTGTGAACATGTTCTGCAGTGCATTGTTATAACACACTGCAGTGCCGCTTTTTTTCTTTTAACTTTGTGGCAGGGCAAGGCCATGACACTGTGCAAAATAGCAGTTTAAGCCACGGTTTAGCAGAAAACAGGCACACTAATGGCATAAGTGTGTTCTAGCTTTTTAGGAGAGACAGGATTAGAGTTCAGTGCTCCTCTTAGGAGTAAGAGTGTGTTGCAATGGAGCAGAGAGAGGTGCATGTCTGCACCGTGCTATCAAGTACAGGAGAGGACAGACAGACAGACAGAGAGATGCAGGAAAGACACAGAGCTGACAAAGGTACAGCGTTTGTGCATGAGCACTGGGAGGTGTGATAGATGGTCTGAAGGACCAAGGCACAAGGCCTGAGCAGTAGAGCTGCAAAGAATATTGTTACTTTCCGTATTGATGGTGGAAAGCCCCTGTATGGGAAGCTATTTGATTGTGAACTGCTTTAAATAAAAGTGGGCAGAAAAAATCCCTAAAAAGCACACCTGAAGTGGACTGGACTCACTGTTATGTGCTACACATGAGCTAAACAAACCCCAAGTTGTCACAATTTTCATCCAAAGCTATGCGTTGCAAAGTATTAAAGAGTGTTGGATCACATTACACAAAAACAGAACATGTCCTATTTTTTTTTCAATGGACACCAATGTGGAACTGTACTCACCTACCCTCTAGCAATACAATGTCCAGAAGCTCCCTCGCTGGTAACAACATCTTCGCCGGGTATTCTTTGACTATCTTGATTGTATACGCAAGATAGTTCATCCCTGAAGCTGTTGGAATTGTACACTGAGCTGCACAGGTTCTCCCGGGTGGGGGGCAGGGGTGTTGTTGGTCAATGTCAGGCTCTCTCTGTGGGAGGGGGAAGGGGGAGGGGGAAAGGGGGAGGTGGTGTTGATTGGCCTGTGGGGGCAGGCGATTTTTGTGTTGCCAAGGGAAGCACAAAACCTAAATACACTACTGGGCACACACTCCCTACCCAGAACTGCAAAGAGTGTGTGTGTGTGTGTGTGAGATTTTGTGCAGTCCTGCCGCCCTGTAGCAGTACTTCTACTATAGGGCAGCAGGCAAGCGGTTAAGCTTTAGCTAGTGGTTTAACATTGAGCCCTGGTTCACACTGGATCTGACTCTGAACTTGAAGCCGCACAATTTCAAAGTTGGATGGCAGTGGGACTTCATAGTCATCTGTGCAACTTCATGCACAGAGGTCTATGGAAGTCGAACCCCAATTTGGCAAAAGTAGTGCAGGAACTATTTTCTAATCAGTGAAACTCCGAAGTCAGAGTCACACCATTTAAAACAAACAAACAAAAAAAAAAAAACACAATTATATTTAAAAAATTTTAAATTGCCTGCGGCTTTTAAACTGTCAAACTACTGCATCTGTAATTGTTTAAACTGCACAGATAGGAATCAGAGAACAAACAAGTCAACTGGCAATAAAATACACATACCAAATCTGCATCTAATCCATAAAGGCAGTGCCTTGTATTTGGATCATGGTCTGGTTTAGTTTTCTCAGACCGTATGAACTCCATGATTTTATGTTCTCCTTCCCCTGGAGTCTGTAAAACAACATTGTAGAGAAATATCAGGAATAGGAGGTAATTATTGGTGTAACACAACAAGTAAATGCAACACACACACACTGACCTCATGACCAGACAAGTATATAGCTACACCTTGCCATGTCTTGTCTGTGGAAATCTTCATATTTACAAAATACTTCAGATGCTCATGTAAGCGAGCCATAAATTCAGTTCCTAAAAGGAGCAATGAAATTGGAGAAAATTAATATTTACCACATTTTATTTCCTTCTAAATACAGCAGTGTTTTTAATGCATGGAAGCACTGATTTTATTAAACAATGCGCCAATATCCCATTCTGTATTCTATGTTACTTGTGCAAGTACTGACGCTTGCAAAGAAAAAACAGCTTTATCAAATGGAGACTACATGCTGGCAAAGGTTTGTCCACTAGCCAAACATATCCAACAGCAATCATCTAGGTCAGGAGTGGACAACTGTGTCCTTCCAGCTGTTGGTGAACTACAAGTCCCATCATGCCTCTGCCTTTAGGAGTCATGCTTGTAACTGTCAGTTTTGCAATGCCTCATGGGACTTGTAGTTCGACAACAGCTGGAGGGCCACAGTTGCCCACCCCTGATCTAGGTAGTAAAGTGAATATAATTAAAGAATGTAACAATTAAAGTATATATGTAAAATACTGAGTGTGTACATATACTGTACACAAGAATTACATATACATGCAGCACAAAGCTTATAAATGAATACATATACTTTAGATAATTTTACAATAATGTCCAGTACGTACATATATAGAGCAAAGTCCTCTGACTACCTGGCCCATAGAATTACACTACAAGTTGTAATTGGAAATAAAAAGGACAGTCCCACTAATTTGGTGCACAAGGCTGCTCTGCTCTGTAAAAAAAAAAAAAAAAATGCTGGTGACCTGGTTTACTGCAATGCCCAGTTCCTGAGCCTAAAAATGTACAGGCCAGGGGAACTTCAAACACCCAGCTCCTCCCATCTAAAAACCTTTTGGGGGCATATATCATAAGTAAATCTCTAATTCTGCATGACCTGATCATTTTCAAATAAAATTATTCATACCTCAGGTCTGGCCCTACATAGGGATATTCAGAAAGCAGTATGCAATGTAATGGCTAGCGTTTTTAAAAGTTGGCCAGCAATGGCAGCTTCCATATTGCTTTCATGGGGTTTTTTTTTTTTTTTTTTTTTTTAAAATCGTTTGGGTGTTTAAACAGATTTTTGTATGTGACCTCAACGATCTCCCTTTAAACAAATTTTGCTTTCCTTCTGGTCCTTGCTGCCTGTTACAAAGACACTGAGCTGCACAGTCACAGAATATCATGCCTTAGTCCAGAGGGATAGCCAGTATTCTGTATGGCCATGCAGCCTTCCATTTTTTATGGCTGTGCAATGTGCATGCACATCTTTGTAGCAGGAACTGAGAGAGCAGAGGACATAAAAGTGTTACTTAAAGAGGCCCCATAGAGAAAATTGTGAGGGTAGTAGGGACTAAACTCTGATAATGTAGTTGCTTGTGGCCATTGAATACAGAACAGGGACTCTATGAAAGTTATGCAACCTTTAAAAATAATACTTGGCAAAAAAAGCTTAGGAGTCACAATTTGTGCATAAATGTGTCACACAAATGTATTTACAGCATCTATAAAACATATGTAGGTAAGGGGGGTCAGTAGATGCCCTTTCCTGCCACACTTTCACCTTACCCTGTGTAGGCATGGTAGCTTATCCATCCAGCAAAAAGCATGGGTTAGGGAAGCACATTCAGCACACTATCATCCAGCAGAAAACACTAACCTAAAACACAGGCATATTACTGGATGCATTTGGCCAATTTAGAGGTCCTTATTCATTAAAAATGCTAATGCTTACAGAGAAATTGCCATGGTATATAGGGTAATACTGTGGCATTTAAATTACAGTATTTTTATGTTATACATATTTTGTAATCACCGTGTACTCACTTCTGTGAGATACTGTAACTACAAGGTTGGTGGGTAAGGTATGTGTTTTTGTTGAGGACACAGGAGGTATGCAAAAAGGTTAACAGTCCCTGGAGGTGACTAACATGGAACATTGTTTGGCATTGCTGGATGATTTCTCAAAAGCAGAGGAAACTGCAGTTCAATGTTTCTAAAAGTAAAAAGTAAAATGCACCTAGGGAAAAAGAATCCCTTTACGGTGTTCAATATTTGGGGTATAGTGTTGATGCATCACTAGAGGGGTCAACAGCAGGAGGTCCTGATTGCCCTATACAGATTTTTAGTTAGACCTTATTTAGAATACTGTGTCCAGTTCTGAAGATCTCACTTAAAAAGAGATATTGATCATTTAGAACAAGTAGAGATGGGGCAAAAAAAATAGAAAAACAGTGGCAGAAGCGGCTGCCAAGCCCATCTTTGGCCCAACAATGCCCTCAAGTGAAAAACCAACACCACCTTTGGAAAAAAGAAGGGGGAGGTCAAAGCACCACCTTGTCTTTGCGTAAAACCAGGTAAGGTGGCTTACAGGACAAAGCCGCCAACTGACACTTTCCAAGCAAAAGCATTAGCAACCAGGAAGGAAAGTGAAGCCCCGCAAGGGAGGCCGATGGCAGAGGCCTCGCAAGGGAGGCCGTCGGCAGAGGCCCCGCAAGGGAGACCTGTCTGAAGCCCCCCACTTCCTGCAGTACAAACAGGTAGGAAAACTAAACATGTGCCTGTCACGCATGGAACATAGCAGCTCCCCCCTTTGGCAGGAGCCCATTAAACAGCACCTGGATATAATACAGCTGGTGCCACAAACCCAGGCCATATGTAGCTACAAAAGGCCAGACCCAAGTGGCGCTGAGAGGGCATCAGCCCACTGTCACGGAGAAGGGTCGTCATCCTGTTCATCATCAGCAAGAAGCAGCCAGCAGGAATGGGGGCACCAGAGAAAAAAGAAACCCAAGCTTCCCGCTAGCTAGATCCTGCAACCAGCCTGTCGCCCAGCTTGAGTATTGATAGAAGATCTCTGCAGGAAAAGATCCCCCAAAAAATTTAAAAAAAGCTATAGGACCACAAGTCCCAGCATAGAAAAAAAAAACACGTCCATACTCCTGAGACACTAGACAGAATGACTTGAGTCTTATAGCAGAGAGGGGGTTTTATATCCCAGAGAGGACTGCCCATAGGAGGTGCCAAGTTTTTTTTTCTGTTTAGTGTCCTACTCCTGTAGGTGGGGCTATAAAACCCTGTTTGGTCATGAATACAGAAGAGAAGGCTGCGTCCGTCAATGAACGTAAGAGAAACAGCTTTTTTTTTTTCTTTTCAGTTTTTATTCTTTAGATTTGTGGCTAGATATAAACAATTTACTTACCATAATGAAGAAGTTGTAGCAAAACACCTAGATAAACAAAAGTACAAACTCCAGACACAATGCACTGCACACCTTGCTCTGTCTATGGATGCATATTGTTTCTGAGGTTTGAGTGTCCACAAAGCTGAAGACACTCTGCTAAACTTAGCATGCAATAGACTTTTTTGGAAATCAGCACCTTTCTAAGTAATGAGAGTAGGAAAAGGCAGTATGCTATCCGGATAATACACGACCTATACTCCACAAATTTATTTCATAGAAGCTGGCTATCTTTTTGTAGACCACTGCAATGTTCTTACCAGGAGTAATACAATTGGAGTCAAACCTGGCTTCGGTTGGCAAAACTTCCCCTTTTTCTACTGCCTTCTTTATTTTGTCTTCTGCCTCTTTTGCTGATCTAAATGGCAAAAAGTGGGAAAAATGAGTCATGTGAATAATAAACAAAACATACAGCTCATTTCAAGAACACGGGAAAAAAAGTGAACCATAGAAAACAGAGCTACTAAAATGGTCATCATCTGTAATAGGCTGTGTGTCACACATTCATTGGAAATAAACACAAAAAGAGAGCATTTTCTATGATACTGGGGTGGATGGTGTGAAGGTACAAATCACTTGATAGGACACCACATTATAATCTTTAGCATTGACAGAAAAAATCTGCTACTACATAAAAGCATGTAAGAAAAGAATATATACACACACACACACACTTATATAAATAAAATATATTTTTTTAACCTACAGGTAGTTTAAAGGACAAGACTGTTAGCCAATAATTTTTTATTTTTGCAGTGCACCATGCTGTCAATGGGAGGTGGCTGATTGTAGGGGATATAAGAATGTGCAAAGTAATGTTCTGATAGGTGATGTGATGTTCTTTCACTGACCAATCCGCAGACCACGAACAGGTTTGTGACAAGCTGTGCTGCTAAACAACAGTAAAGAAATGTGAAGTGATCAGCCTAGCTATTGTCCGCTGTATCACACGATTAGCTGTATAGAATTACAATGATTTGGCAGGTAATTGTTCAAATAAACTTATTTTACCTATGGTTTAGTTGCTAGGTGCGGTGGCTGCATTTGTTTACTTTTTTAGGCTCTTTTCCCTCTTATCACAGGTGGTCTGACCAATAACACACCTCCTGTATTGGAGTGCTCCCACTCTGGATGAAGGAGCACAGGGGCACCTTTGGACAGCAGCACTGTCAGTCTGTAGTAGCAGATTTAGATACACTAACCAAACTGAAGTCATATTTCAGCTCACACGTTTTAGGCAGTTACAATGAGAGCTTTTGGGATAATAAGTTTTACATAAATAAAAGCTGGCCATTGTAAGCACCCGTCAGTGGTAAATATTCTGTCTCAAACCTCCAGTTCCTACATCAGCTTGGTCAGTTAAAAAATAACAGACTTACTAGCAGGATCAGCAGGTGGAAATAAAAAAAAACCCGAATCCAGCTATCACATCTACAAAATGGTAAGCAGCATTATAATAGTGTTTGCTTTTGGGTTTAATATCTAAAGCAATTACATTAATAAGCGAAAGCACAAAAGTAAAATCATTAACTTTGTTATTTGTAATTATTAACTGCCTCATTCAAATATGCATGTAAAGCATCAACTGCGTGCAAGGAGAAATATTCAAACTTTAGATGAGACAATGGGGGAATTATAGACAACTACCCACCATTATGTTCTGTTGTGTACAGAATGTTCACACAGGAAAAATCAATGCAGTCATCTAGTCCATAGTCTAGAAGACCATAGTCACAAGAAATACAGT